AAGAATTTATTCCACCATAAATAATATTCTAAATATAGAAGTATATTATCTAACTAAGTTATTTAAGATGAATGGTACGAAAAATATATACTCAGGATAATTTCGTCCAAGGGAAAAAATACTTTATCAAAAAATTGAGATTTGAACATATACAACAACAACTACTAAATAAAATTTATCAAAAAAAAAAATGAGAGTTCGAAGAAATAGAGTTCAAAGAAATATACCTTCTACCGACAAATGATGAAAGCCTAATCAGTTTCAAATTTCTACCATAGTAAATTTCTTAAAATAATTTCTTTGAAGTTGGAATCATATACTTCTTCGTATATGGTAATGGAATTTTTGCTTCTTCTTCATTTGTTCTAGAATAATTGATTAAAATATAATTAAAAATATAAGCAAGTGGACTCACCTAGGTAATAGCATCATTATTGTGCCTTCTCGTAGAAGTTATTTGCTCTTCTTAAAAATTGTGTCAAAGTGATATAAAATTGATTAATCTTTTTATGAGGGTAAAGTAGACATTTTGATCTAAAAATTGGACATTTTTGCAAAGATTATAAAAAAAGTACACTTTTCAACTCTAACCCTTATAATTGGACATTCTTGAAAATGCCTCTTAAAAAATTATTCGGAGAAATTCTTGATTTAAAGTTTCCACTGAAGATTCTCATAGCATATTCTTTGGCCCTCATTTTGGGAAAATAAAAATGGGTGGAATAATATTTTTTTTGAAAAATAAGTGGTTGAAAAAGAAATAAAATTTTTCGATTTAAGTATAATATTATTTTATGGAAGATTGTTTGATTTAGAATAGGAGAGAGAAAAATAAAATGTAATTGAATTGAAATTAATGGAGCCAAACGGGGGCTCAATGTTCTATGAACAATAATCGACCTAGTACACATAGAGAGATTTTCAGTTCAAGAGGCATTGATATCTAATGAATAGTCGATCAAATTTAAAATTGTCTCCAATGCAATTTATGAATTGCTATCTAAATAAATTTTAAAAAAAATAAAAATCAAATCAAATCCGAATCTGAATAGAAATTTTTAAGTTTGTAATTGTTGAATTACTTTGTGCAATCAAATTTTTGAATCTAGAACTTTTAGCTAATGTTGTATTTAACTAAAAAAATATATTAAAATTTAAATCAAAATCAACTATTAATTTTAATCTCTCACAAATCACAACCTTATAATCATACATTTTATAAACTTTAATCAAAAAACACTGAATATCCGATTGTTATTTAAATCAAACATGTTTGAGCTGAATTTGACATACTTTGGTCATTATTCCACTTGTCTCCCTGGCCCGGCACTTGTACAGGGAAAATGCCCTGGTTCTTATTTTTGTTTTTGCTCAAATCCTTGGCTGAATTTGACATATTTTGGTCATTAGTTTCACGTGCCTGTGATTTGGGATTGGTGCCCAGCCCTTCTTGATTAATGATGTTAATGGCGATTAACAGTTGTTTACTCTTCATTTTCCATGGAGTTTTTGGGTGCATCAATTTCTTCCTCTGCTCCCAAAGTCTATTCTATACTTCGCACCAGTTCAATCACCAATGGGTCAACCCAAATCTCGCCTAAAACTCTTAAATTCTCCGTTTTTCCAATTTCCCCTAGGAAACAGTTCAAGATTTACAGTGGAAAGGCTAGGGAAGTTCAACTTCAGCATATGCGGCTATCTAGGATTCGGGCTCTGGGCAGTCATGATTATGTACCTGATGAACCTCCGCCGTCTGATTCAAATGGGAGAAAGAAGCTAATTGTTATTGCTTGTTCTACAGTTACTGTAGCACTAGCCATTGCGAATCGTGTGCTTTACAAACTTGCCCTTGTTCCCTTAAAGGAGTACCCGTTCTTTCTAGCTCAGCTCACTACTTTTGGGTATGTTTTGTGAAAACTTTTGATTTTGTTGATTCGTTAGATTTTACATATTTGGGTTAATGATGAAAATTAAATGCCCGGATGAGTCTACTATGATGATCAATTCTCATAACAATAGCATTCCAAATCAAATAAACAAGACGTTGTATTCTCTTGTGCATCGCTGATTCGCTACTAGAACTCAACTGTGCTCTCTTTTTCTTCATCTAATCAAGTATGCGCGCTGTCTTAATAACTTGTCTTTCAAGATTTCCTTTAAGACACGGGGACTTTTAAATAATGATTTAATGGAATCTTACAAATGGTGTTGGTTTTATGATACACAGGTATGTTGCCATATATTTTTCTGTGCTCTATATGAGATACCGTTCTGGCATTGCAACTGATGAGATGCTGGCCCTTCCCAAATCACCATTTATACTTATTGGGTTTTTAGAAGCTCTTGGAGTTGTATCTGGGATGTATTCAGGAGGTATCGTTTATTGTGCTTTGTGCATTCAAATCTGACCAACATAATTTACATGTAATCTCAAAGCTAAATTAGAAATTTATGTCCTCTAGTGTTGTAGGATATAAGGTGTTGATCTGCATGTTTCCTTTGTTTAGATGTTGTACCATCAGTGTGACTAGATGTAATTTTTTTGTTTACTATGTTTGTTAGTTTAGATATTCTACGCTTTACTCTTTGTTATTTTATCTCTTTCTTTGTTATGGTATTCTTCAAATCAAATAGATGGCACAGCAGGTGTGCTGCTACATTTGTAATTGAATGGAGTGAATGAATAATCAATTATGTCAGTCTGTTTTTCTTTTTTCCCAATGGTCTCAGTACTGACTGCTGTGCGTCTTCTACAGCCATGCTTCCTGGACCAGCTATACCCATATTAGGTCAGGTAATGTTTATTTTTTCAAAACTTTTATAACTTAAAATCCGTGATAACCTGGCAGCAACGTAGGAAAAGATGAATTATTATTCATTTAATAAGTTTTTTATTTTTTTATTTTTACTATTTGATCTTTTCAATTTTTATTGTCCTGCACTTGGATATTGACTTGGACATAAGCATTGAGTAGCAAACTTGTGAAGCATGTTAACTTGGGCTTTTCTCCTTTTGAATTGCCTTGAGATAAACGTTCCGCTATGCAATTCTGCATCAAGTCTCTATTCTTTTCATTAGGGGTGTTTCTAAGCATTGAATTCAATGAAAACGTTTTTAGACCTCAAATGCTAGGCGATAATGAACGTGCCAACTAAATAGTGTTTATTGGAAATTCATTAAGGTCCATCCATGTCAGTGAGAGATTTCACGACTGGCACAGATTCAATTACCTGTTATTCAAAATAGGGAAGTTTTTCTGCTAGCACGAAAGGATGATATGTTTCCTATTTTCCTATTATTGTTCAAATTGAATGTCCTATGTTTAGATTATTTTATGAACTTCCAAATTATTTGATAGGAAAATGGGCTTTAAGATGGCATGCTTCCATTAACACCCTATCTGTGTGCTTTATATTATACTCTGGGATTGACAGGTTACTTGTAGTTGTAGAGTGATAATTGTTATCCTGTCGGATATCCATACCTTTTGTAGCATACTGTATTCTTTTATTTCGAATTTTAATTAGAAATAAAAGAAATGCGAATTATTTAGCTTCCGTTTGGTAAAACTTTGTGGATTTCCTCTGAGAACTTTATCTATAATACTTGATTTAGTTTTTATAGAAACAAACTTTACCTAGTTATTGGTGTATGAAACAAGGCAAATAATAAATCATAGTTCACTCAAGGTTTCTTTCTTTGGATCTGTTACTGCAGACATTTTTGGTATGGCAGCTGGTTTTTTCTATTCTCCTCTTGGGGAGGAGCTATTCTATGAACCGAATCGCTGGATGCTTTCTCGTAGCTGTTGGTGTAGTATTGGCAGTTGCAAGGTCGTCCTTCTCCTTCAAAGATAAAAACTTTATGCCTTCCATAAAATTGTAATAAATTGACTCTATTTGGCATGCTGCAAAATTATGATGAATGGCCATCTAATGTGAGTGACATGCCACATGCTGTTTATTTGAATTTCGCAACTTTTCAATTTGTTGAAGAAAAGTTGGGACTCAATGAATTATGAAATTTTTTCATGTACTTTCCTATAATTTTCCTGTTAATTTGCAATTATAGTTCCATTTTTTAATCGATAACTAGAATTAAAGCTTTGGCAATGGAGTGTAATTTTTCCAAGAAAATGATTACCTAATGATCGCTCCTTGTTTGATGCTTAAACATTTTGGTAAATGAATATTTGTATTTTTTGTATGTTGGCTGCAGTGGGTCAGATAGTGATCAAATGCTCTCTGGAGTCGGGATTTTATGGCCTGCAATGATGATAGCTTCAAGTGCCTTTCAAGCAGTTGCATCTATTGTCAAGGTACCCCACCAGTTGATGTAAGAGTGCTAACATGTTCCTAATAGCAAATTTAATAATTGAATTCTGTGAACGTGTAGGAATTTGTTTTCCTTGATGCTACACCTCGCCTGAAGGTGCGTTGATAGATATCTGTGTTGTCTTTCATTATTTCTTCGAGCTTGCTCATTCACTAATTTTTACAAACATATAATTTCACGTTCTCGTAATTTTTTACGATTCTTGCAGGGAAAATTGCTAGACATCTTTGTTGTCAATTCCTTTGGATCTGGATTTCAGGTAATCATCATTTACCTCACAAGAACATTTTTAGATGGCCATGTTTATACATGTATAATTGTGTTTATTTTTTCTTTGCCCTAGCTTTCGTTTTGGTAGATCTCAAATGCTTACATATTTAAGTGCTTTCCTTTTCTTTTTTCCTTTTCCGTTTGACTTTTTCTCATCGTTCATGGAGTATCGATTTGTCATCTTTCGCAAAGATGGGTTTGGCCAGACTAAATACATGATCTGTTTGAATGACTTCTTCGCTAGAATAATTGTCATTATCGTTTATCATAGTTGATGCAGCACAGCTTAAAAAAGGGGAGAGATCCAAAAACTATTTGAATCTGCAGTAGTCAAGAACTGGGTGGTTAAAGATTCATTGATTTTCTAAGAATACTGAAAATTTGACAATGTTCAGTAATCTCTCGCTTTTTCTAATTCGGTATCAACCAAATAACAATTATCCCTAATTCTAACGTTCAGAAGAAAACGATACATCCTGAATCTTCTAAACCTACAAAAACTGTACAAAACTAATTTAAACGAATAAAAGTCCAAAATTAAAACTGAACCTAAAATTTCACTTAAATAAAAAACTTAAAATAAACAAGTAAATAATTTCCGTAATGAAAATGTTTAGGTTTGACTGTTGATTGAATTGGGTCAAAGTATCTTATTGCATTAGAGTCCAGTGGACCTGGATGGAAGATTCTTCTTAGGAGGATATTAAATTTTTATTTTTATGCCTTTAATAGTAAATCTTACTTAACCTGGAAGAACAAATTAAAATGTGATAGATGACATAATGTTTCCCTAACTAGAAACAACCCAGTCACCCTGTTATCATCTCAAAAGGAGCTTTAAATGAAAAGCATAGAGATGCATGGATCCTAAGAGGCAAGGACTCTAACCTCAAAATTACATGAAGAATGGAAATCTTGAAAGTTTTGTGCTCTCAAGGCACCTCTAGTTACTCCGCAGTTGTATCACCAGCCACCAGTGAAGCAGAAGGTACTGAGGCCATTTTTTCAAATGGCAACAAGCAGATTTCAGACAGTTGCTGGCACAAATTAGGAATAACTATTTCTTGTTATGGTATAACCTTTTTCTTGGGTCGTGGGGTTATTTGATTACTGAGCTACTCTAAATTCAATCAATGTATTGTTTGTTAAGTTTTACTTCAATTGATCTTTTTTATTTTTTAAAAATTTTTTTTTTGGGTTAGTTATAGCAAATTAAATGGACAATAGTTTTTATAATTATTAAGTTGGTCTATTGACTTGTGTGCATTAAACTATACTTCTAATTTCACTACGTCACGTGCCTTTTCACTTTCAGGCTCTTTTTGTATTCCTCTTTCTGCCATTGTTGTCAAATCTGAAAGGCATACCATTAACTGAACTTCCCTCGTACTTGAAAAGCGGAGCTGCTTGCTTCTTCAATGTTGGAACCAACACTACAGGTAATACCTTTCCCTGGACCCCTCAATGTATGCAACCTTTTTCTGACCTTCAATGCCTACATTGTTTGCCAATTGAGCTCTGAAAAGTAAGAGTTGCTATAATTCTATCCTCTATGCTTTGAAGAAAACTGTTTACCTTGCCATTTTTTTTTTCCATTTTGGGTTCATTTTATAGATAGGTAGTTTTTTGCATCTAGAGGTTTCATAAAGGTGATCAATTCGAGTTTATATGTACATTTAGTGTGGGGTGAAAAATTAACTTGCATGAAGCAATAGGAGTTTGGGGTTGATTGGAGAAATTGGAACTGATGCAGGAGAAATTATGAGAAATATGTTGAGACTGAGAAACAGCCGCGTGTCTGTGTGACTTCGATGGCATTTGTTACTCATAAAATTGAGACATTTTTTTTGAAAGGATAAAATTGAGACATTTTAATGGAAAGCTTTGCTGTATCTTTCTTTGAGCTGAGACAGATCATCCAATCTCTTCAGTTCTTTTCCAAGGCAAGGAACTTCTGTGATTCATCTTAGCTTGCTAGCTGTTTGCTTGTTAAACAGTTCGCTCAGAGACTACTACAGACCACATTGGCATCAATTGCAGCATTGCATTGAAGTTTAACATGTTTTTATACTTAAAAGAGTAAGGAACGATGTTCCGACATAGTTAAATTTTATGCTGAAGCAAAATAAATAAAATTCATCGGATTTTCATGTACCTTTCTCATATGAAAGATACGACCTCTTATCATTTTTATTTCAGATTACCTTGCTTATCCATTAGATGAAATGTGTAGTCTTATATTTGAAAAGGATATATATCAGTTCTTCTGTTTTTATTGCCGGCTTTCCACTTCGGTAACTTGTTCTGTTTTTTCAGGCTGTAATGGAGCCCCAATACTACCCCTCCTTTACATAATCGTCAATATAGTTTTCAACATATCCCTACTCAATCTTTTAAAATATTCTTCTGCTGTCGTTTCTTCTCTTGCTGTGATGTCATCAGGTACTCGTCATCATTATACGTTTGTTTAGAGAAATATATGTACCTTATGGAGAAGCTCTTCTAACGATGATCACTTTCTCTTGTAGTGCCCATTTCAATTTATATCCTTTCCATTCCATTGCCATATCTGCCGGAAGGTGCAAGCTTGAGCCCCTATTTTGTCTTGGGCAGTGTGATTCTAATGGTTGGGCTCGTCCTTTACAACATATCCTGGCCTCTCAAGCAAGACAAGATTTTGTAACAAGGATTTGTCATACTTGAGGTCGAATGGATTCTCTGGGTCGTTCTTTATTCTGTTGTCATGCTTTCTTGTGAAGTCTAATGTGTTTTCTTATCGCGAATCGTTCCACATTAGATTCAGTGGTTATGTTGAACCTCCAGCACTTGTGCCTGATGCATTGTGCAGTTCCAGAATTGAGGCTACAATTGTGTGTAGTAATGCAAATGGATTATCATTACCAGAACAAAAGCAATTAAGACCACCTACAGAGTTCCACCTATATTGTTTATTCAGTTTGTGCAGTTTTAAGGAATTCACTATATGATCTTAGCACCCCCTATGTGGTCTAAAATGTAAGCCTCCTATGATTTTTTAAGCAAAAATTGTTAGATATTTGTATGATAATTATATTATTTGAAAGAAATATTTAAGTTATATGAAGTGCCCAATTAATGGAAGGTATGGTATTTATGTAGGAGGTCAAAGGTTCGATTCACATCCCACACGATTATTGTCTTTGATTGGACCTTGGGCTTTTGGACTTTCTTGATTAAAATATTTATTTATTTTAATTATTTTCAAAATTATTTAATGGATCAAACTAGTCAGTATAATATGAGCGTTTTTCAACAATCCACTATCAACAACCTATTATTCACAATCCATAAAAATTGCAAATATTTCTAGATTATAGTAGAAACTGTTATAGCTATCTTACATTTTGTAATTTTCATATTAGAGTTTTATATATTTTTTCTAGAGTACATTTGAGAGTTTCAATATCATTTGTGATTATTGTATAAGTGATTTGTTTGATCTTTGTATCCTGGAAGCAATTGTCTATAGAGATTGCTATAGTTAACGACGAACAATTTCATTTTAAAATATCATACTGTCACGATACTCGATCATTTGATAAGTTCTACTTGCCGCGTTTTATTATTGTACAATTTACTGTATGTAATTATTTTTCAACAGTAGCATGATTATCTACTTCTAACTAAACAAACAATAAAGTTCAAAATATGGAGGTTCAATAGGAAAGGGTCGAAAGCCTTCACTACAATGAGCGAAAAGAGTCCTCTAGTTTGCTTGTCACTCAATGCTTCCTCTGCAAAAAAGGCATGAATTATCAAATATTTTGTCTAGGAAAAGTGGTGTACAAACATGCATCCCTCTCACAAAAGTGGGGCCCACAATTATTTTAATCGCAAGCCTCATCACCTATATGTGAAGGGCTGTCGATCATGCTATCAAATGTGTTGTACCTATAGCACTTCTCTTTTGTTCAATACATTGGAAAATTTAAAAAACAAAAAGAAAGAAAGAAAAAAAAAATGAAATTAAGGGTAAATACTTTGACCCTACAATTTTTGTTTGTCTCACCATATACACACTAGTTAAAGCTAATTTCATGAAGAGCTTTAACCTACTAAAAACAAAATAAGCGATTGTTTGATAATCATTATTTAAACTTCTTTTTTCTTGCATGCTCATTTTGAATCACGGATTCATATTTTGTACGTGAACTCAAAATTTTTTCCTACATTTTAATCATATATTCTCCTCCGATTAATGGTTGTCAAACAGGGCTAAATGACATACAACTCTTTCCCTCTGATTGCACACATTAGCAAACCACTCTCTAGCCTTTTCCGATTCCAATTTTTATTCATTATTATCACAAATAAACACAGTGCCCCCTGATATTCTTTCTTCTCTTTTTCACTTCTGCAAGTTGATTTTATTTATGAAAAAAATGGAGAAGCGGAGCCAATGGGCACATGTTTCTCTGTTGTCAAAACAAAAGAAGTAGGTGATTTTTAGTTTCTGATAGGTGGGGACGTGGGGTGGCAGGGTTGGGGATTAGGGTGTTTAGTAGGATGACCATTTTTGCTATTTTATGCATCCACTATTAATTAATAATTAATGATAAATATTGAAATAAAAAATTAATAACACAAAAGAAAGCAAGATCATGCAGCAAAAAAAATAAGTAAAAACCTAAAGAAAAAGACAATAAAAGAGGATGAAGATAACTAGTGATGGGGAACGTGGAGGATATAAAAATTAAAGAGGCAACTTAAGTTGTGACCAATTTAGTAAATAAGAAATATATTTAAAATTGTGGCGGAACAAAATACTAGGATGTTAACGATGAGCTTAATGAAATGCTAGGATGTTGACAATGAGTTTAAGTAAAAATGAACCCAATAAATAAACATGCCTAAGTTACTAAAGCAAGTCTTAAAGTATCACCTAAAACGTATTAAAAACCATTTAAATGCACGGGTTCCTAAACATGGTCCTGAAATACTAATACAAGTCCTATAGCTATACGTAATGCAATAATTAGTAAGAATAAAAGTGATTGGATGAGAAAATGGGTTGCTTTTCATCAAGTGCTTGATTTATAGTCTAGAGCTTGACTTGTGGTTCATTCACTCCTGTGTTGTAAGATGAATGGTTAATTTTTTTCGAGAATTCACTGCTCCAATATGGTTTCAACCATTGTCCGTTAATCTTAAAGGTACCTTTGCTTTCATTAGTGATTTCAACCGTCCAATAAGAAAACACTTTGATAATTGTGTATGGCCCCAACCACTTGGACCTCAATTTAACTGGTAAAAGCTCAAGTCTAGAATTGTATAGCAAGATTTGTTGCTTAACCTCAAACTTTCTTATTTAAATGTGTATGTCACACCACTTTTTGGAGCGCTCCTTGTAGAGCTTTGTATTCTCATAGGCTTCCAGACGAAACTCATTCATTTCATTCAAATGAAATAATCTATTTTCATCAGCTGTCTTCAAATTAAAGTTTAAATTCCTGACTGCCCTATAAGTTTGGTGCTCCAACTCAGGTACACTTTTCCAAACACCAAATGATAAGGAGAGATGCCTATAGGTGTTTTGAAAGTTGTCCTGTAAGCTCACAGAGCGTCGTCAAGTGTCTCGAAGAACTTACTGTTATCTCAAGTATCTACTTTAATTTTAGATAGAGATTGCAACTTACTCGCTGGTCTGAGGGTGATAAAGAGGTAGTTATATGGTGCCGGACATCATATTTAGCCAACAAGGACTCAAATTGACAATTGCAGAAGTATTTGTCCCCATCACTTATGATAGTTCGAAATGTGTCATAACAGGTGAAAATATACTTCTTTAAAAATCCAATCACCATCTTCGCATCGTTTGTTAGCAATGCTACTGCTTCCACCCATTTGGGGACATAATCAACTGCAAAAAGATACACCGATTTCGAGAATGACGAAGGGAATGGTCCCATAAAGTCAATCCCCTACACATCAAAAAGCTCTACCTCAAGAATGATATTAAGCGGCGTTTCATTCCTTTTCGAGATACTTCCTGTACGTTGACATCATTCACACATCTTCACAAATTCAAAAGCGTCCCGAAATATTGAAAGCTAATAGAAACCGAATTGTAGAATTTTAGCGGTTGTCTTTGATGTGCTAAAGTGTCTCTCCAGCATAGGCGGATGAATGACATTGCTCGGGTATTTTGGGGACCTCTTCTTTAGGACACACCACCTAATAATCTGATTTGGAGACCGCCTGTAAAGAACAGGATCATTTGAAAAATAGTATTTCAAGTCAGAAAAGAATTTCTTCGTTTGATAACTTGAATGGTTTAGTAGAATGATGGATTTGACCAAATAATTCACTATATCTACATACAATGGTGCATCCTCTATATTAAAAATCTATTCATCTGGAAAGATCTCATTATCTTTACTGATTTTTCTTATTGTTCATGCTCAAGTCCGAAAAAATGGTCTTCTATTACGTTTTCATTTCCCTTTTTGTCTCTTCTGTCCATATCAAATTCTCGTGGTAGTACCCATCTAATCAAACTTAGTTTTGCATCTTTCTTTGTCATCAAATACTTTAAAACTACATGATCTGTATAGACTATTACCTTTGATCCAACTAGATATGATCAAAATTTATCAAAGGCATAGACTACAGCTAGAAGTTCCTTCTCAGTGGCGGTATAGTTTGGCTTGCATCATTCAATTAGTTCGAAAGTTGGGACGCTCTTGAGTCAGTGAAGAAGTGATGTTGAGGAACCCACACGAGGACGTTGTTGATTGCTTGTATAGTATATTACATGAAAACTTTTATCTCTGTGCTGTCCCTATATGACTCCCACTGCGTAGTCATTTGTATCACAGATCAATTTAAAGGGTAAACTTTAATCTGGTGCAACTACTAGTGGTACTGAAGTTAACTTCACTTTTAGAGTGCTAAAAACTTCACTTTTAGAGTGCTGAAAACTTCTCTTTTAGAGTGCTAAAAGCCAATGGACATTCTTCAGAGAAGTTAAAATGAACATCTATGATTAGTAGATTGCACAACGGTTTAGTGATCTTACAGAAGTTCTTGATAAAGTGACAATAAAACTTAGAATGACCAAGGAAACTACGAACACTCTTGACTGAGGTTAGTGATGGTAACTTTTTAATAATGTGAATCTTTGACTTATTCACCTCAATCCCTTTAGCTAAAATCCGATGTCCCAACACGATGCACACTTATACCATGAAGTGACATTCCCAGTTTAGTACCAAATTTGTTTACTTACACCTCTACAAGACCAATTTTAAGTGCCCAAGACACTCATCATATGAAGAGCCAAAAATTAAGAAGTCATCCATAAAGACTTCTATGAATTTCTCCACCATATTAGAGAAGATGGCATCATCCAACGTTAAAATATAGCAGGAGCATTACATAGACCAAATGACATCCGAGGATAAGAATGCATGCAGTAAGGAAAAGTAAAAGTAGTATTCTCTTGATCCTCGGGCACTATCAAAATCTGATTATAATTGGATTATCCATTAAGAAAGCAATAATGGGAGTGACCTGCTAACCTCTCCAACATCTGATCAATAAATGGAAGAGAAAAATGATAATTTCGAGTAGTAGTGTTGAGTTTGCAATGATTAATGCAAACCTTCCATCCCGTAATAGTTCTGGTGCGAAATAACTCATGCTCTACCATCGTGATACTTCTATTTTTCGACACAACTTTAACAAGATTGATCTATGCACTGTCTGAGATAACATAGATGATCACTTTATCCAAAAGCTTCAACACCTCTTCTTTGACTACCTCTTTCATATTCGGATCGAGCCTCCTCTAGTTGTTTATATTTGGTCGAAAATTATCCTACACGGGGATTTTATGCATGCAAAGTGTAAGACTGATCCCTCTGATGTCAACAATAGATGCCCAATAGCTATCTTATTTTCT